ACCAATTAAATCAGAGTCTCTGGGAATGAGACCCGTGCAGGAGTTTTTTTCAGGTTCCCTAAGTGATGCGTAGCAGGGCTGAAAATCGCTGCATTAGTCTGTAGGTTCCTTGAGGATACCGATCATATCCTATTTACCTTTTCTTCTTCTTTAATACTTTCCCAGCACCTTGCACAATGCCCTGGGCTTCTGTTAAGTGCCTAGTGATTAAATAACTATGTAACCACTTGTAATTCCTTAGCACCTGCTAGATGCCAGCAACTACTGGTTAGCATTTTACCTGTATTGATTCACGAGTGCTCACATGGATCTAGGAGGTAGGACCTTATTTACCCCAGTTTGCAGAAAAGAGAACTGAGGCTTAGAAAGATTAAATCCCTTAGCTGAGAATTTGAACTTGATCTGGAGGTGTGTTGGGGTGGCTGAGAGCTGACTCAGCCAGACTGCTCAAGCACCTGCACCTTTTGCCAGGGGGAACCAAAACTATGAGTAAACTTGATTCATTTCTTTCCACTATTAATTTTCCTAGATTTTTATGTGAAATATAGAATTATAATTAATATTACCAAATTATGTTTTAAAGCTCCCTTAATAATTACCTTCTATTTGCCAGGCTCTGTACTTGGTGATTTACATTCATCACCTTTATTAACTACTTGAGCTTCATGATGACACCGTAAGACTGGCATTATTATTCCCACTTTGCAGATGGGAAAATTGAGAGTTAGAGTGATCGGGCGGCTCCTGTGAGTCCAAATGGTAAGAGTCAGACTTTTTCCCAGTTTTCTAGTTCTTCTTAACAGCTCTGCCCATTCTGCATTTACAAGCCATTCTCAGCATGATTATATCATTAGCTCCCCAGAGCTCTAAGAGAGATTGATGACGTGATTGGTCGGAAGAAGTCTTGGGCTGCAGAGTAGAAGACAGATAACTGCAGGGACTGGCCACCTGGGAGAAGGGCACCTAAGTAGGTTCTCCACAGACTAGAAGGGCTTCGCACTGAAAGTGAAAGTGACTCAGCCTTTACTCACCTCCCCCAGGCTCCCAGCATTCTTGGTATCCCCCGCAAGACAGTGGGGAGGCAAGTCCAAGGCAGGGCCATCGCTCTGCCTGCTTGCAGAGGGAAACAGAGGAGCCTCTGTTGTTGCTGTTGGAGCCCAGGATGATAGATGGAGGGCCATTTGTCGATCCTGAAGCCATCATTCATGAAGGACAATGGCCCCCTGAGACCCAACACATTTGGAGAAGAGCATGGAGCAGACAGAAGTAGGATTATGTGAAACAAAGCCAAAGGAAATTTGTTAGGAGCCTGATTTCTCGGGCCTTGAAATTGGCAGGAAGGAAACCCTTTCTGTGAAAGAGTTATTAGCAAATGTATTTAGAACTGAGGCAAGTTCACTAGTTTCCTGGTGTCCATTAGCAGCCAACATTGGGAATGATTGTGTCGCGTTCAGCAGACTATTATTCTTTTGGAAAGTATTACTTGGGATATCTTTTTGCTTGGGAGGGAGTGACTGGTGCATGTAATTTTCTGTGCTTTGTGGTGAAGAGCTGGGGTGTGGAGAACTGCAGCAATAACTTCAGAATCATCAACTGGACTCTTCTTTGCTTGGAGCCTTGGTCCCTTTGTATAAAGTCTGGGCGCAGATAAGCCAAAGGATTATTTTGTCTTAGCTTTGGAATCATAGTCTAAAACACTAGAAAACTCACCGTTTTTGTAACCTGTGCAAAAATTAACACCGTGTATGAATAGGGAGCTTAAGGCTATAGAAGCAACTGAAGTCAGGAAAGTATGATGGAGGGTCTGCTTCCTTGTCTTTTCGTTTTGGGTCAGGAAACATCACGAGTCACACAAACTGATTATTTCTGACAATGGCTAAGGATGAGATCTTCTGGAAGACAGATTGAGTGTGTGAAAGCCTTAATGAATACAGAAAGAGGTAGGGAGCCAATGGGATGGTAACAAAGCACACAGCCTCTGAGTCTAGGCTTGCTACTAGGAATGCATTTGCTTGCCCTGGCAGACAAGGCTGTGTGGGTTGGGGGCTGGCGCATCTCATTAAGAGAAGGAAAGGAGCCCACTTCAGAATATGCTTGTGGCAGGCTTGGCAGGGATGGGAACCACTCTGCCAGGTGCTCATCCCGACTTGTGTCTAACTGTGCCTGGCGGCGACCTTCCAATGAAAGGATGGAGAGAGAAGTTGCTAATCCAGCTCTAGCTAACTGCCTGGTTCTCTGCTGGGCTCTGGGGTTATAAAGGTGAATGAATTCAGAGGTGGTGTTGCTCAGTGGTTAAGACCATTGCTAAAGCTGCGAGATCTGGGTTCAAGCAAAAGTTCTGCTATCTACCAACCTAGGGCATATTACCTATCTCTGTGACCTCTTTGTCCATCTGAAAAATGGGAGAAATTATAGGATATACTTCAGAGGGACTATGTGAGCATTAAATAAAATAATGTATGGAAACCATTTATAGTAATGCCTAGCATAGTGCTGTATTCATGTTTTCAGCTTTGATGATGATGATGATGATGACATATGTACAGAATTGCCACAAAATGCCAAGCCCTGTGCTGGCTGCCAGGGAGATGGAAGCCCACCCTCATGGGTTCAGTGTGGAAGAGCCATCCACATAAATGGTTACCTGATAGCAAATCGTATTCCTCTGAGTAAGATTCAGATGTGGTGCTGTGGGTAACTGTTAACTGGGAGATGTCAAGACCAGCTTTATGGACCAAGGAAGGCTTCCTGGAAGAGGGAGTACTTATAAAATTTGAAGGGAGTACTTAAGAGGAATTTCTCATGGAAGGTAAGGTTCTGCACCAGCACTTCAGGGAAACACTACTCACAGGTAGTTGGAGAAAGCAGAGAGAGGCAGTGTTCCAGAAAAGAAGTAGTATGATATGACAAAGGTGCAGAGGCAGGAATGGGCAAGACACAGCTAGAAAAGGGTGAGGACATTTGAGTGGAGGCCTCCAAATGCATGCTGGGGGGAGCTTGGCCGTTTGATCACAGAGAGCCCAAGAGGGTAGACTCAAGTGTTGGGATTTTGTCTTCAAGCCAGAAAGTGACACGTGAATTCAACTGCACTCTGAAGATTTTATGGGCTCATAAAAGCCTGTATGTTGTGGCTCATAAAATATTAGCCCAATCTACAAAGTAGGATTAGCAAGGTCCAAAGGAGGTGAAGCCCAAGGAAATAAGTAACACGTCCACTGTACTTGTTCTGCTCTGTGCCACAGCTGCTCCCACTCAGCCTCCATCAGCCCTGAAGTGGAAATGGTTGAAGGGGAGACTAGCATGCAGCATGCTGGCTAATTGCCCTGTCTCACTGCTGGTGACATCTTCACTGAGCCCTGTGGGGTCTGGGCATGGACACCAAGAGTCAGAGAGGTCAGGTGAGTTTGGGATTGAGACTCTCTTTCTCTAAGCGTCTCCCATATGTGTTTGTGATACAAGGGAATTCAATGCCCAGTGTGCACACTGAGAAATCAGAACATTTTCACTTGTGCGAGTGATGACAGTCACAAGCCCCTTCCATGTACCATATTATTGGTACTAGAGTTATTACTGGTGGGCTGATGAAGGAAAATATTATTCTAAGACTTCTGCCTTCAAACAGGCACCCTCTAAAGCAAAGTTCTCTGGATAATATGTAAATGAAAAATAATACTTTATTTTTTCAAGATTTATTTTTATTTATTTATGTATGCAAGAACTGGGGTGCAGGCCAAAAGTGCGGGGCAGTGAGAGGATTCACCAGAGACAGAGTAGGGATCAGAACAGGTGGATTGACTGAAATACAGTGCTAAGGGGAGCAGCATGTGAGACAGGAGAGGTCTGCTGGCTCATGTGGGTCTGCTCCCCGGCTGGGGATCAAACTCGTGCTGCAGTAGCTGTGGATAGCTTCATTATGCTGAGACTTAACCACTTACACCATCAGGGAGGCCCATGAAAAATATTTTAAAATAAAATCAAAAGAAAGCATGACAGAACCCTCTCTCTCTTTCCCACTCTACAGCTGCAGTGCCTCAGATGGGGTGGAAACCTTGAGCTTCTCTCCCCCTTATATGATTTATTTCTTTTCCCAGAAACCACTAGAGAGAGCGCACAATGACCCCATGTTCTCAAGTCTCCAGACTTGTGGCAGTGCAGAATCTCAGGGTTGGAGGTGGAGAAATAATTTATTGAAAGTCCATGCCCTGCCCTCCATGTTGGGGTAAGCAGTGGTAGGTAAGGTGAAGGAAGTCCATGGATAATTTTGGTGATGACTTTGACAAAATGGAAAGAATTTTGGAGTTGTATGGATCAACTTCATTGCTGCTTTCTTTGCTTCCTACCATGGATGGAACTTGTCTACTTCATTCCATGCCTAAAATAGATGTATCACCTACTTCTAAATCTCCTGGGAATTCACTGAGCCAGAGAATGAACATGTCCAAGTGGAGCATGGCACCCTTTGAATCCCTAATTACTACTTCTTAGACTTTCTCTTTTGTTCAGAAGAGGGATTATCACAGTGACAATGTACTTTCTTTAACTGAATTTTGGCAGGTTTTTGGTACTCTAGACCAAAGTCTCTAGTTTGTCCTAGACTTGGCATGTTATCTTGAAGTCAAAATGGTGTTTTGTGAACTCTCCCATAATAGTTCTTATTTGCAACCTTCTTATGTGGCTACAAGAGAGACTTACTGTGTATTGTTCACTGCCTCATTTGGCAGAGATTTTAGAGCATCTCCAACAGGCCAACCCTGTGCTGGGATCATAGTAGAAAGAACTGGAAAAGACTGGAATCTGCCCTCCAGAGGTCTCAGCTGACTAGAGGAACAAACACCTATATGTGTGGTTTGTACAATGGATGGTAAAAGCACAGAGGAAGGAGTCAGGACAGAATCCCTGATCTTGAAGGTCAAATTGGAGATGGCCATTTGAAGGAGGAAATGGTGTGGACAACACATGCAGCTGAGTGATTGTGACCCATCCAGAAACTGAATGACCCCATTCGTTTTCAGATGAGGAAACCGATTTAATGAGGCATTAGAAGTATTCACATAATGATTGCAACCCATGGCAGGTCTCCTTTTCCTGAGTATGTTTCCTCATCCTCTGAATGAAGGTCCCTTTCAGCCCAAATGATCCATGATTTTCCAAGTCTGTGGCTCATAGTCTGCAAATCAGCATGAAGCAGACTTGGATCTCTGTCTATTTATCTTATCTCCCTATTTATATTTGGAAGCCTGTTTCTTCATCTGTTAGAATTGCCTACATTACCCATCCTGAAAGAGTCTCTGTTTACCTTGATATGCTGTGAGCACGATCCAGGGTTATTAATAAAACAAGGCAGCCTTGTAGCAGCAGGGTGGGGAGTACAATTTTAGGACCAGCTGTCTCTCTTGCCCTCAAAAGAATGCCCACCCTTACAGGCACCATCTGACCTCCAGAGCTGGGATTGGGTGATGACCCTCTTGGCATGTATGGAAAACACTGACCTGTTTCTTCTCCTTCCCCAAGCCAGGGAAACTCCCCCTACCTGGACATGCCAGAGACTGCAAACTGACAGGCTGTAGATATGTTTTGGGCTCACATCCAGTTTTAATTATTCAGACATTTAATATAAAAACTAGGACATTTTGCCGAAAACATGGATTTCCATCTCTTAGAAAGTCAGACATGGCAACACTAGGCCCACCTTCCTGCATGACATCCTCCACTGGTACTGAAAGATACTGCCCCTTTCAAAAGGGCATAAGTTCTTGAGTTTGCCAGTCTCCACCCTTCCTTGTTATTTACACCTGGTGGATATGCTACCCGGGGTATACCCCTTCACTGAAACCCAAAGTTCATATCCTTTGGTTTCCCATGAGGCAATATGTAACAGTTACTCACATGTCACTGATCTACAGAAGTGGAGGATACTATCCGGGTGACAAGGTATTTTCCAATCTATTTTGTCATCTCATCCTGACAGTAACCTGCAGAGGTGAGCATGATCGTTACCATTTTACAGATATAAGATGAGTGCTCAAGGAAGATGGTACTGTGCAATGGGAGATGGCTCTGCAAGATGGGCCTCGCAGAGCCGGGGGATAGGGAGATGCCTGCACGTGAGTGCGATTTTAACTAATTTGCTGGGTACCTCTGTGCAGTTGGCTGTCTCTTTGAGGGCTCCCGTTTTCTCCTCTGTAAAATCAGGTTGCTGCCCTAAATCAGAGGTTCTTACTGTGAGCACATGGTTAGGGAAAAAAAAAGAAACTCTAAGTTAACATTTTCTCCCATTGTGAAATAGGCAATAAACCACAATAGCATTAGAAGTCTCTGGGACTTTGTTATCAGGAGAGATTGGATGGTTTTGTATTCCATTATAGTTGTTGAAGATATTTCAAAATATCATTTACACTCATTACTATTTCAAGGGTATGAGCATTATTAGACCTGCCTCTAGATTTTGCTATAAATCTTGACTTTAAAAGGAAATAAAAATATTACTGTATCACAAATTTATCATCTTAACAATTTGATAACTATTTCAATATAACTGGTTTCCTTTGTAATCTTATGGATTTTATTTTATGCATTTGGAAACATTTTTCTGAGAAAGAGTTTATACATTTCAAGAAATTGCCGAAGGGGTCTACAACACACAAAGCCTTCTCCAGATGATCTCTGGGCTGGTGGAATATTTGGGACTCCAAGATCCATGAATATCAGGCCAGGCTAGGCCCACCTTGCAGAGCCACTATCAGCAGCCCAGCCCTGCCTCCTCTCCCACCCCCCGGCCCACTCTGTTCTACACAGTGTCAGAGGGAATTCCCCTGGCCCTGTGCAGCCTGGTTGACATTCAGTTACATCAGAAAATCTCTCCCAATTTGTGGGTGGCTAAAGATGTTAGAAAAGTCTGGGAGACAGCAGTAGAAGAGAGAATAAAGTCTCACAACATCAGCACTCCATGGACCTTGGTTCCTTCTGTAGGTGGAAATGAAACTGAGCTGGAGAAGTTCTACAAATCAGAGTGGCATGTGCAAAGGTCCTGTGGCAGCAAGCGTATGTTGATGGAGAAAATAAATGAGAATAAGGAAAGAAGCAGATGGTGAATTTTGAGGTATAGAAAGGACCCTGAGAGGAAGCCCTTATAAGCAAGTGTGAAAGTTTGAATGTATCTTCAAATGTAGCATTGGAGCTTGCTGTACTACTTGGATCGAGGTCCCCAGACTCAGTTTCCATCCTCTGCATTTCAGTTCTTTCCATATATCTTGTGTAGGAATCCCAGATCTGGAGGGCCTGGGCATTTCTTGCTGTTTGTAGGGAAAGAAAGGAGAGGATGAATACCTGGTTGAGGGCCACACAGCTTGTCAGGGGCAGGAGGGATGGGAATCTATCCAGTCTATTTCCCATTTCGTGGGAAAGCATAACCCTAGACTTACCAGGTTCCAGATGTACCAGGGCCTGCCTTCTCCCATGAACGTGACTCTTCAGGTAGTCTTTTCCTGCACATTTCTACTCAGCAGTTTTCTTTGAAGAGTTTATCTTCTGTTCTTCTCCTCACCTCCTTCTTTTCTTTCTTAGTCATTCCTTTTATTTATTTATTTTTTCACAGTTTGAGTTCTCACTAAGACTTCAATCGGGTCCCTCAGATTGAATGCACACTGCATTTTCAGACCCTTTGCACAGGAGTAAGGAGGTCAGCAAACTGGCTGAGTCCTGTAAGCTCTATCGTGACCACTGACATTTACATTTCACTTTGACCTTGGACACAGGCAAGAAAGTTTCCAACTTAGAGTCTCGTCTTGTTGATTATTCTTTTATCAAATATTGATTGAGCCTCTGGTGCAGGAACTGGACTGAACAATGGGGATAGATCTAGGATTGTACAGGATGACACAGTCCCTGCCCACAGAACGCCATGATCAGATGCCCACAGATGTCTTAAGACAATGCTTAATGCAGGAGAGGAATCACGGGGGGTAAGAGGTGAACAGGGAAACTTGCAAAGAGAGTCAGTAACAGTTACCTTGAGAGCAGCCCGAGAAGTCTTTTGAGTTAAGGTGTTGTCTGAAAAGGACCTGGAGATAAAGTGAATAATGAGCAGGAAATAGTCGAGCCCAGAAAGACTCTGCCTTTCTTCTGTCTCCCAAGTGTTTGTAGGTAGCAGAGACATGACCTCACCCTGGCAGGACAGGCAGGCCCTCCTCAGCTACTGGGCCCCCTCGGTGAAGAAGCCCAGCTTCTTCATGACTCAATACCTGAAGTTGTTGGAAACGCTGAACACATACAGGAAGAAAGGAGGAGGAAGCAGCTCTCGCCCATTAGTTTAATTCATTATGTCACTCTGGTCTTCTTTATTGAGCCTTGACAGGGTAAACCAAACTTTTATGCTCATCAGCCTGGTGGAGTTCATGACTCAAAGAGTTGCTCAAATAAATCTGTAACTATAAGCAATGACAAACTCAGGATTAAGAGCAGAGGGGACATTCAAAATGTGTACCAACCCAGACTGCAGTGCGCAGGCCAGTCCCGGGGGGGGGGGGTCTCTGCCATAATGTTGGGACAGGGCCCTGGAAACTTCCATCTGCTGAGCAGGCTCTTGGGGAGTAGGAGCAGAGATAGAGAGAAGTGGGCAGGATTGGGAGACTTGATACCTGCAAGAATCCATGATGAGTCAGTTACTGGGGTGAACTGCCAGGGAAAGGAGTGTCAAGGGGTAGCCTGGGGTTCTAGTTTGTGTTGCTGGTAGAAAGTGGAATCAGGGACTCCCTGGTGGCGCAGGCGGTTGAGCACAGTGCTGTGAAGCTCTCTGCAGGCTATGCAGTGCGGGTTGGATTCCGGCCGGCCAGTGAGATGCCCACATGGCGCAGCAGACCTCTCCTGCCTCTCCCACTGCTCCCCTCAGCAGTGTATTTCATCAGTCTGCCTGTTCTGTTCCCCGCTCTGTCTCTGGTGAATCCTCTCACCCTCCCACATATCTGGCTTGTACCCCGGTTCTTGTATAAATAAATAAATCCTTAAAAAAAAAAAGAAAGTGGAATCACTCAGTAAGGTGGAACCAGCAGCAGAGGACCCTTTGGAGGGAGACTAGAAAGAGTTATTGACATACTGAGTTTGAGATTGACAGGTAGGTCTGAGCCCCAAGACTCATGCTTGAAGTTCCAGCTCTGTTTACATAAGTAGAGCAAATCATTGTGCTCCTCTGAGCCTCTCCGTCCTCAACTTTAAAACTGAGGGAGTAAAGCCTGCTTCATAGCGTTGTCATAAATGTTATTCTGAGTGTGGAGTGGAAGCCCCTGACAAGTTCTGAGCAGGCAGTGACCAAGGCAGTCCCTGATGGTGGTTGATTTTAATGAGTTATACATGCTCAAGAATCATATAAGATTCAGCTATAAAGAGGCCTATTCAGTACATTTTCTCCCTAAGGAAATAAAACGCCAGACCCATGACAATGGTGGTGGTGGTGATGATGATGGTGATGATGATGATGATGAAGATGGTGGTGGTGATGACTACTTTGTTTCCTCAGCAATTTCTAGCATATTAAACATCTGCCTCCATCACTAGGGAGGTGCCGTTGTGTAGAAGAATCAGTGGGCTCAGATTCAGAGATTTGGGGCTCCATCCCTGTCTCTGCAGCCCTGGGCTGGTCATGCAATCTCCCTGAGCCTTAGTTTCTTTAGTTATAAAGTGGGGATGGTGATAATATGTGCCCCAAGATGGTTATAAAATTGGAAGGAAATGACTTTGTGTGCTTTAATGTGATGTGCATTTCCAGATGCACAGTGGTGCTTCAGAACAGTTACTGCTTTGCTTTTTCTTATGTGACCACAGTTCCTGTGCCTTAGGAAGAAAGCAGAAAGTGACATTACGCCCCTCCCAGCAGGACCTCTGCCCCCCTGCCTTTGCCTGCTGTCACCTTCTCTCATCCCCTGTGGCCAGGCACAGAAGGCAGCACTTCTTTCTCTGCATGACCACCCCGAATTGCAATGCCCTTTCCCCACCCTTTGCCTATCAAATGCCTTGTTAGTCTCCAGGGCCCAGGCAAGTGCACCTCTTCCATGAAGCTTTTCTGATGCTGCCAAGTGGAATCCACAGCTCCATCTCTTGTCCCCATAGCACTGTCACTTGGTCCTCTCCTGAACACGCTGAGCACTCAGCTTTGGGTTACAGTGCAGACCTGTGTCCTTGGCTATAAACCTCTTGGGCTCACAACCTTGTCTGTTACAGTCTCACACTACCCTCGACTCTCAGCCCAGGTATATATATACACACACACACACACAAACACACACTTTAACTGAATGGAATTGAATTAATTCGAGCCATGGAGGCTGGGGCAGCAGCCCTGTCAACCTATTGGTGGCCCCAGACCAGCACTGTGAGCTGGCTTGTGTTTGAAAGGCCTGGGGTCACTGATTGCTGCTCTAACCAATCAGAAAAGAGTGGGTTGTTTTTGGGTGGAGGGTCTTTGGTTGATGCCTGAAAAGATCCTATTTAAAGCAGCTTCAGAACAGCCAGGCCCACAGACTCTGGTAACAGGGCCATTGCAGAGAAGCTACTGTTAGACATTGGGTAAGGGTGACCAGCAGCCTCTTGAACCAAGTTAGGGACTTGCATCAGCCTTGACTCCCTGGGACTTTCTGCCCCAGCCCCTGCAGTCCATCCTCTTCTCATTTAGGGTAATTGATCTCACAGACTAACGTAACTCTATGACTGCCCAGCTGGAACCCCTTTATAGGTGAGCCCATCGCTGGGAACTTGAGCTATGAGGCCATCCAGACTCCAGCCCTGTGCCCTTCTAGTCCCCATGCTCTTGGAATTTCACATTTTCTGCTGCTTGCATTCTCAGTCTACATTTCACACCTTCTGCTTTGTGCCCTGGATCTTTTCATCTTGAAAATACTCCACTCCTGAGTCTTGCCTAGACCATCTTGGTAGAATTGACCCCCTGGCTGGATCCCACTGCAGATCCCAGGCTCTTGACCCTACCTGTAACACTTACACCCTGTCAGTCCTGGGAGCACGTCACATGGACTGACATTTGTAATGGAAATTATAAAATTGGCAAGAGTCAATCAGGACTGACTTGCTGATCCCGGTGTTTGAGAAATGCTATTTCATAGAATTTTCACAGCAGCCTTGGAAGGCTGTGCCCAGGATGTTCATCTTGCTGATGAGAAAGCAGAGGCTCAAAGAGGTCAAGTAACTTTTTCTGTGTTGGACAGCTCACCCGAATCAGAGCTGGGATTTAAACATGGATCAGGACATAATTTGCCCACAATTCCAGCCTGGGTTTGATGCACAGTGTAGGCACCAGCGGTCGCTAGTTGAAAGAAAGGCTGAGCATGAAGCTACTGGGGTTGAGGGAGTGAAACTGATGTTTCAGTAGAGCTGACTTTATTTATGTATGTAAGAGCTGGGGTGCAGACCAGAGGTGCAGGGGTGAGAGGATTCACCAGAGACAGAGTGGGGAACAGAACAGGCAGATTGACTGAAATACACTGCTGAGGGGAGCAGTGGGTGAGACAGGAGGGTCTGCTGTGCCATGTGGGTAGCTCCCTGGCCTGGGATTGAACTCGTTCTGCAGTGGCTGAGGATAGCTTCATAGTGCTGAGGCTTAACACCTTGCACCACCAGGGAGGTCCCTGACTGCTTGGTTTTTAAAAATTAAAGAGACTCTCTCACAGGGTTCCAAGGGTATCAGGCATCATGTTGCAAAAACTTGGACTTACCAAGTTTTTAGGTAAAACATAAAAATCATTTTTTTTTTTTGGCCCTGCAACACAGAAAACTTTCTCACTCTAATATTTGATGTAGAATGTTCAGGCTGGCAGGCAATGGGAACACCTTGAAGAGGACAAGGCTGGTCTTTGGATATCATTCTTGGCCCTGCCTCATGGGTGTTTAGGTTGTTTGGGCCTCGGTCCTGTGGCTGGAGCACCATTTTTTATCCTAAACTACCTCACCCTACCCTGATCTCACACCAAAAATCTGAAATACAGCCAAGAGGGAGTAAGAAAGTATAAAATCCTTGACTCCTCTGAAATACCCAGAAGAAAGCTAAAGCGAGCATGTCTGGAGGACATCCTCAACAGCAGAGGTCCTGGGGAAGAGGCGAGCATTGACAGTGATGAATGTGGACATTAGCTGGGCTCAAGGCTTGCCTGAAATCAGCTTCCACATCTGCGGAGGAGATATTAGAGTTCAAGAAACACCTCTGAGCCCCAAGACCCCTGGGACCTCGAGGGCACGCTTCCCTTGCAGCTTTGATTCACTTGGGCCTTGAATCCAACTCAATATAGTGGGAAACCTCAGTCCTCCTATAGGTGGACCTGGAAGTCCAGTGCCTTTTTCCACTCCCAGAGCGCTTCGGATTGATGGTGGATATCTTAGTATCCCCCCATTCCCTCTTGTGACCTCGCACACAGACTTGGACTCCTGCTCTGGTTCCCTATTCAGAGCCTTGGCTCCATGTGGAATTGGATGATTCCTTTGAATCTAAGTATACTTGGTTGGCCCCCTAATTCCCTGTGATCCTAAGCCCTTTCCCTATCAGCCCCCTTATGCCCTTCCCGATCATACCAGGTACCTGGGATCCTATATAAATAGGCAGGGCCCATCATTAATAAAGTAAATCATTGTTACTAATAACTAAAATTTTGTAATTAACTAAATAGTTACTATCACGAGACTAATAATCTAATAGTTTAGAACATGGCTTCTGGATCAGATCATTGGGTTCCAAATCCTGGCTCTACCATATCTTGTATGAAGTTGGGTAAGTTTACTATTCTCTAAGTGCCTCAGTGTCCATCTATAAAATGAGGAAAATAATTGTCTGTACCTCAAAGAATTACCTGTGAGAGTTGGATGAGTTGAGGTTTGTCAAGGACAATGACTAGAATATAGTAAGTATGACATTAACTAAAATCGTAATAGTAGCAATAAAATAATATTCACCTACCTCTTTTAGGCTACAGGCACATAAGCAACACAGCAACCCAAGATACAGACACCTACATTTCAGATGAAAACAAAAAGGCTTAGGGAGGTTATGAAGTCACTCAAGGTCATCCAGCTATGACATAATAAAACCAGGGGTCAAAGCCAGACTTTTTGGTTCCGGGGCCAATGCTTCCTAACAACGTTCAATAAAAACTTATCAATCCCCACTAGGTATCCCTATCCCTCTTTATGTGGAGAAAAACATTCCAATTAGGGGGATTTCCAGAAAAAGGAAGCTTGAAGCAGGAAAAGAGAAGTGGCCAGGGGTGAGGCTTCAGATGAGTAGAACCAAGGCTCTTCATGGCATCTTGGTCTTGTCTCTCCAACGGAAACCCAGTCTCCCCAGGGCAGGAGAGAAACTTTTATTCTTCTCCTGAGCCTTCCTAGGCCTGAATGAGTGCCTGAGCTCTCCATAAATTCCCCAGGAAATCTCTGATCGGCTGACTCCTATGCTCTGTCAGAGGCCAGAGTTGACCATAGTAGTTCATTGACATCTTACATGCAACTGATCGTTATGTCCAAGGCAGTGCTCCATGTTAGAGTAAGGAGAGTCCAAATTAAGCCAAGAAAATGGTGGCTCCACACTCTTGCCTGCACTTCAGCTTCCATCCTGTAGGGGAAGGGAAAGGGAGAAATTTCACTAAATTATACTGTAATACGTGTAATTCCATTCAATAATTCCATATATTGAAAGCTGAGCTAAGGAAAAAGTAGATTCAGGGAACAGGGCAGAGATGTAGCTGCATAAGAGTTGAGACTCTGACCTATAATTTGCTTTTGTTGTTGTTGTTTTTAATTTAGAAGAATATCTTAAGAGAAAATACTCATAAATGTAAACATTGATCTATAAAGGGAAAAGCCATTAAGCCAATAATACTAAATAATGCCAAATTTATTTTAAATGTTAGACAATAGAGAAAGCAGTGATTTTGATATAATTACTGTATAACTTGACTTGAAATTAAGTCCATTTAAGACATTCATTGATTAGGGACAAAACACAGGGTAAAGAGAAGAGGAAGCTACAGAAAAGTATAAGTCACAGACCCTCTTTCCAGATGCTTCCTCTCTAATGAGCTGGTGGTTTCCAAAGCCAAGGTGTTTTTTTTTTTTTTTTAAAGATATATTTATTTATGCATACAAGAAGTGGAGCACAAGGCAGAGGTGTGAGGGGGTAAGAGGATTCACCATAGACAAAGTGGGGAGCAGAACAGGCAGATGTACTGAAATACACTGCCGAGGGGAGTAGCAGGCAAGTCAGGAGAGGTCTGCTGCGCCTTGTGAGTAGTTCCCCGGCCAGAGATCAAACTCGTGCTGCAGAGGCTGCGGCCAGCTTCATAGGTTGCGTCTTAACCCCTTGCGCCATCAGGGAGGCCCCAAAGCCAAGGTTTTGAGATTTATACATGGAAAGAGATGATCATTCATGCTTAGGTTTAATTAAACCAGAGAGTGTGCCCTTGAAAACAGGCTTGGTTTTTACCTCATCTGTTTTTTATTTGAAGAACACATTACTTTATTCATAAAATCTAAAGTCTATTGCTTGGTATGTAGATTAAACAAGTTATTTGATTTTTTTTTAAATTTAAGAAAGAAATTAATTCAGTATTTGTTGAGTGCCTATTATGTGCTAGACACCATTCTGAGCTCTGAGTAGACAGTGCTGGAAGGAGAGCCCCAGTCTCTGCACTAATGGAGCTTGCAATGGGGTACTCATTAAATAAGTCTTGTGAAATAGTACCTAGCTACATTTATTAGATGTACCGGAAAGGAAACTCCTGTAAATAGCCAGAGAAGCTCACTCAGTTTGGTGATACAGACATTCTTTTTTTTTTTTTTTAAGATTTATTTATTTATTTATACAAGAACCGGGGTACAGACCAGATGCATGGGAGGATGAGAGGATTCACCAGAGACAGAGCGGGAAACAGAACAGGCAGACTGACGAAATACATTGCTGAGGGGAGCAGCGAGCACAACAGGAGAGGTCTGCTGCGCCATGTGAGACCCTCACTAGCCGGCCGGGATCGAACCGGTGCTGCAGAGGCTGTGGACAGCCTCACAGTGCTGCACTCAACTGCCTGCACCACCAGGGAGGCCCGATACAGAGGTTCTTGAGGAGATGTTTTTCCAGCAGCAAGATGAGTTTGAATTGGCCAGGAAGGAGGAAAGCAAACAACTTATCATAGAGAGAGAACAATGTGTCCAGGACCTTGAATTAGGAAGAAGTATGACTTATTTGAGGACCTGAAAGAAAACTAGTGTGGCTAAGGGCAGACACGGGGGTAGGGGGGAGGGGGAGATGGATGAGAGCAGAAAATCCCTCCAAAAGTAACATTTTAGGGCACAAACAAGGGTGCATTCTGGACTTTGGATTTGATCTTCAATGAAATAAGAAACTGTCAAAAGGTTTTAGGCAAGGGAGATGATCCAATATGCATTTTTAAGAATCCCTCTAGCGTCTGGATGGTGAGAGAATTGGAATACAGGATGTGGAAAAACCAGTTAGGAGGTTACCGCAGAATTCAAGTAGAAGATGATGGTGGCTTGGCAAGGGTGTGATACTGGAAAGGGTGCAAAATGAGCTGAATTAAGGTCTACTTAGGAAGTAGGATGAATAGGGTTAGTGAGTTTGGCTGTGGGTAGTGACAGGCAGGGAGGTGTCAAGGTAAGTTCCAGGTTTCTGATGGGGCAACAAGTAGATGGTAGTGACATTTACTGTGATTGAAAATACTGAAAGCAAGCTAAAAACAATAATCAAGGCAAAAGACAAATGGCAATTTCTCATCTATCAAATGAGAAAGACTAACACATGACCAAGGAATAGGGATAGGAGAATAAACTTGCAATTCTTAAAAGAAGTGCAAATGGCCAAGAATTGTTGAAAAAGATATTATCCGACTGACACTCAAAAGATGCGGATTAAAATAAATAGGCTCCATTTACCTATCACAGTGACAAAGATTAAAAAAATGCTAATGCCAAATATTGATGATGGCATGAGAAATTGATATCCCTAGATACTACTGGTAGGAATTGAAAGGGATACAGTTTTTTGTAGTGGCAGTTATAATTTTTTGAATATTTAGCAGTATAGTCTAAGTATATAATCAAACAATCTCATGAAGACATGTGTACAAAAATATTAGTGTATTTTCACTAGGAAAAATTTGGAAATAATTTACGTGTTGACCAGTAGGGGGTTAATTATGCATCTAAATGACCATTTAAAATGAATTAAAATGAATGTGTGTATAGTAAGATCCCATTTTGTAAAGTACCTGGACATACATGTATGTCTGTGTCTGGTTGGAAGGGGTGATATTTATGCAGAAAGCTTTAGAAGGAAATCTATGTGAATCAAATTGCTTTTGGTAGGTGAGTTTTCTTATATTTAATGTATTTGGGTAAGTAGTCAGAAAAAAATAATACTTTCAAAGAATAGAAGACAAAATCTGTAATATATGGGAGACTATAATTAAACTTGTTACCGCAAGGGAAGCCAAGGGAGGTTGTGACCCATTCTGACACCAGAGAGGGCTTCATGGAAGAAGTGTCTTTGGAAGGAGAATGAATCATCAGGGTTGTTTGTTTCCTCGATTCTACACGGCTTCAGAGCCACATTCACGAGAAATAGTGAACTCTGTGGAAAGCAAGCCTGAATTCTGCAGGACTTTCTATTTGCTCTCTAGTCATAAAAAATTCATGGCAATTAATTTTAAACCAGATGAAAGGAAATGGAAACTTAGAGCTCTAGAAAGACATTCAACAACAGCTTCGATCAGTGTCCAATGCTGTCACTTTGTCACTTTCTTCCACTTGCCCTGACCTGGTGGGGATTTTATACTCATTTGCATGGCAGTGGGATTCCTGGGTATTATGTTATCAGTCTTTTTCGGTTCCTTGGTTACTATCTTCGATCTTTGAATAAAGAATCACTTTCATTTCACATTTGCTAAACTTGGTTTTAGAAATTATGCAGCTTCTTACCAAAGTGCCCTTTTGGAGACTTAAATATGCATTGATATGATCTATTCACTTATGGAAAAGCCGGTGACCTAACAGAACAGGATGACCCTGCCTTGATTTGGAAACAGAACTTAAGTGGTAGCCAGCAGCCACGGAATTACGCATTTGGGGTCCAAGAAGGGGCAGAGGGGAAACTGAATACATTCCTGTGAATGCACAGGGTTAGAAGCAGGCAAAAAAGTGAGCTGGGTCATTCATATACTAGCTGCACGGCCTCAGGCAACTTTCTTGACATAAAGTAAGTGTTAGGTGTATTGCTGTTTCTACTTTGAAATATGACAGACAGGTTCAAGGTCTCAGGTGGATAGAACCAAGATAGAGTAGGACACGAAAGACACAGGGGGTCTTACATGTATGAGCATTGTACATTTCAAAAGTCATTGAGCCCACTGAGTTGCATTTTTCCCACCCATAAGATCTCCCAAGATAGTTATGAGAATCGAAAGTCATATCTGAAACCATCGGTATTTTTCTTTTTCTTTCTGGCTTATTTCACTGAGCGTGGTCCTTTCCAGCTCCATCCATGTTGCACTTTTAGGAGGAATGTAAAGGATCCAAATAAGGGATCAGGGAAAAAAAGTAATTATAATAAATTAAAAGTCAAATTCAACAGGCAACTATAAATCAGAGACATTCTGCAGGGGAGGTGGAGGGAGAGGGATAAAATAGGGAAAAGAGCACAAGGTACTATGGTGATCGTGCACGGGTGAATGGATGGTGGGAATTTCATGGGGACCATAACCGAGAAGAGCAAGCATACATTGTACAAAAATGCAGAATGATGTAAAAAATATATAAAATAAAAAAAAAAGAATTTTTACCCCTCCAAAAAAGCAATACCTGTAGACGTTATTAACTCAACAGCTGTCACATAGTAGGGACTCAAATATGTGGATTTCCTTCCCTCTTCTTAGCTTTCCCTTTTTAAGTTAAATGTGATCCCTGAGATCAACAGTCAGGCTCTGCCTTATTTTCCAGCCAAAGTAACTGAATCCAAACTGGGAGAAAGACCAGCCAAGGGTTCCTGAAATCA